AACAATCGATTGGTAATGTGTCTCGGAAAGCGTCGCAGAAGTGTGTCTATGCAAGTCTTCTGATCGAGGGACGGTGTGTGCGATTCCAGTTAGACACAGGCGCGACGATCAATATTTTGCCCAGAAAGCACTGCCGCGGCGTGCAAATTCAATCGGATCAAGATTATTTGCGCATGTGGAATGGTTCCAGACTCAAGCCAAAGGGCTCGGCGACAATTGAAGTGGTCAATCCGAGAGACGGTGTTTCGCATCGTCTGCAGTTCGTGATCGTGGATGAGGATCTCACGCCGATTCTCAGCATTGATTCGATTTTATCTCTTGGCTTTGTTATTTTTAACCATGATCGTTTTGTGTACGCTTGTCAGAGTGAAGCCGATGTTAGTGACCTGTATCCGTCTGTGTTTAGCCCGGGTTTAAAGAAATTTGAGGGTACCGCTCATCTGTCGTTAGATCTTTTGGTACGCCCGATTGCGTTACCTGCTAGGAGAGTCCCATTTGCGCTACGTGACCGATTTTCCGCGGAATTGAACAAGCTGGTTATGCAGGGTGTGATTGCAAAGGTTGAGGAGCCAATAGACTGGGTTAGCCAGGTCGCAATCATTACGAAGAAAAATGGCGAACTACGCGTATGCATAGACCCGAAGCCACTGAATGGGGCCCTGCGTAGAGAACATTATGCGCTACCGACGTTAGATGTTTTACCACGTTTGACAAAAGCTAAGTTTTTCACGAAAGTAGACCTTTCTTCCACATTCTGGCACGTTGTTCTAGACGACGAATCCAGTTTCCTCATCACATTTGCTACACCGTTCGGACGTTATCGTTGACTGCGATTACCGTTTGGCCTGAAGGTGTCTAGCGAAATTTTCCAAAAGCGTTTGGTGCAAGCAATAGATGATTTAGATGGCGTAACCTGTGTGGCAGATGACGTTCTGACTTACGGTTCTACCGAAGAAGAGCATGACACTAAGCTACACCGGTTCCTGAGGCGTTGCGTGCAAAGGAACATCAAGCTAAAACGCGAGAAAGTAGAGCTGCGGAAAGAGGTGATTTTCCATGGGCATGTGTTAACATCCGACGGAATCAGGGTTAACCCAGGGAAGAATAAGGCGATACAAGAGATGCCGTCCCCTAACGATGTGAAGGCAGTCCATCGCCTAAACGGTATGGTGAATTATTTAAGCCGGTTCCTACCAGGACTCGCTGATGTCATGACTCCGATTAGGCAGTTAACTCACAAAGGAGTAAATTGGAGCTGGAGGAAGGAACAGGATTTGGCTTTCGCAACCATTAAGAACCTTATCAGTAACGCGCCCGTACTCGGATATTACGATCCAGCACAACCATTGGAGGTACAGTGTGATAGTAGCCAGAGTGGAATAGGTGCTGTTCTGTTGCAGAACGGAAGACCTTTGGATTTCCGCAGTCGAGCACTCACAGAGGCCGAGAAGCGGTACGCACAGATCGAGAAAGGGATGTTGGCAGTGGTCTATGCCATGGAGCGTTTCAATGATTATACTTTTGGAAGAAAGACAACCGTGTACACTGATCATAAGCCGCTGGTGTCGATAGCTACTAAACCACTGAAAAACGTTCCTCGCCGTCTGCAGCGTATGCTTATCCGGCTCCAGAAGTATGACACTGACATTGTGTACACACCTGGCACACAGATGTTCATCGCGGACACCCTGTCGAGAGCACATCCGCCAGTGGCCGAACATCATCTAGAAGAGATCGAGACAGTTAGCATGGTGCAGCATCTGGCAGTGACAGAAAACCGTTTGAAAGACATAAGGCGTTTCACGGAGGAAGACCAAACTTTTGCAGCTTTGCGAGACGTTATCCTCAATGGGTGGCCAGAAACAAAGAAGCAGCTCCCGAAGGAATTAACACCATACTTCAATTTTCGGGACGAACTCACTTTCTGTGACGGTCTGTTGTTCAAGGGAAGTCGAATCCTAATCCCTTCTTTTCTCCGAAAGGAGATGCTGGAGCATGTCCATCGCGCTCACCTGGGTGCAAATTACACCATTAATCGAGCAAGAGAACTGATGTTCTGGCCAGGAATGACAGGTCAGATCAAGGATCATGTGTCTAACTGTGAGGCGTGCCGTTCACACGACATTCGGCAAATGAAGGAACCGATGATGCTGCATGATGTTCCGGACCGACCGTGGCAAAAGGTGGCAATGGATCTATTCTGGGACAACGGAAAGGATTACTTACTCACGGTGGACTACTATAGTGATTACTTTGAAATCGATTTACTCACCACCACGACCACGGAGGCAGGAATCAACAAACTCAGATGTCAATTCGCACGGCACGGGATACCGGAGGAGCTAGTCTCGGACAACGGTCCCCAGTTCAGCAGTAGGGCATTCCAGGCTTTCGCAACCAAATGGGAATTCGCACACCGGCAAATCAGTCCCTATCACAGTCAATCAAATGGGAAGGCAGAGTCGGAAGTGAAGCAAGCCAAGCGACAATTAGCGAAGGCTAGAGATACTCGGGAGGACCCATACCTCATGCTACTGGAGAGTCGCAACACCCCTTCAACGGATATCGGCCTGAGCCCAGTGCAGCGCCTATACAGTCGAAGGACCAGAACTGTGATGCCGGCATCCGCAACACTTCTGCGCCCTGTCACGCCACAACTTGAGAAAGTACAGAACAGTTTGAAAAGGCGAATGGCTACTCAGAAACGGTACTGTGACAACGGCGCACGGGAATTACCTTAGCTGAAAGTGGGGGAAGAAGTATGGGTTGAACCAATTCCCGATGGACAGCAGCGGTGGAGAAAAGGAGTCGTGGCTGCGAAAATTGGTGAAAGGTCATACGAAGTAAATGTTAGAGGGAAGAAGCTGAGAAGAAACCGAGTACAGCTGAGATGTACGAGGCGACAGCATGAATCAGGGAGAGAGCGTTATACTGCGTACGGCAATGAGGCGACATCGGCAGATCCAACAAAGAGGACGCGGAGTGGTAAAGTGTATGGACTATTTAGCAAAGTACAGCAGCAAGAACATGAAAAAAGGGAGGATGTGATGGGAGTATACACTCGAACGAACGTGCGGTGCCAGCCCAGCAAGGAAGCCGTTAGGCTGCCGCAAGGAAAGGCGGCAGCGGATCGGAGGCTCACACGTTTCTCGCATGCACGCTGATTGGCCAACAGTTGGACGCATTGGAGTTTGTTTGACTGAATCAAAGGAAAATGTCATGCACTCACAAAGGTCGTTAATTATGGATCCAACTAGCTGTATATACCGATATGTTTCACTCGCCCGCCGCCTGCGTTTTCGCCTGGTCTTTTTGTTGCAGAATATACGTTTTGTCCCTGAAGGACCGACTTTTCATAGGTCCCATTCGCAACAACTTGTAGATGTGAAAGCAGATTTCGACAATAGTGACAATGAAAACAAAATCAAGGAATCGAATGAACGTGGAGCATGACTTACGATGTGCATCAGCCGAAACTGCACCAAATATACCAGCAATTGTTAGCGCTAAGCAATATCAACCGTCTCATGGATGTATATCGCTTCTTCATTGCATACCATATTGCACCAAAATAACCCATTTCTGTCGTTTAGTGATTGAGAGTAATCCCAAATGATTATCACTTCCCGTAATTGGAAGCAAAAGGTGCGATAGTTATTCGTTAGTTAACGATTGAAACGGAAATTTTGGTGGGTTTGATTATAGTAAACCCGATTTGTGAGCAACAGCCTCAAAAAATGTTTAGAACCGCTGGTGCCCAGCAACCTGTGGAAAAGTTTGATACTGCTTTCCAACAGCACCATCAAAGTCGCATCCAGGACATGAGCAAGAATACTTTGGAAGCGGTACTTAACGTAAAAAGTGTCTTTTCTTCACACTACACTCAAATGAGAGGACTGATTTTACATTGTACTCCGAGCTACTTTTTATGTCTAGTGCATAAAAGGCGACGGCTTCGAAGAAGAGTGCTTGTTCTCAGAATCACGGAGCACCACTACAAGACTTGCGATGTGCATTAGCCGGAACCGCATTAAATATATCAGAAATTATTCATTACCTCTTTGTTTAATGAAAAATTGATCAGTAATGACGGTTTTCTTTATTTGCATGATCAAAAGTAATTATACATGCTTTCATTTTCCGTACTTTAAAGCAAAAAGTCCAATAGTTATAAGGTAAGTTGGTTTTGCAAGTTTTGGAGCTAACTGCTTATGGTGGGCCCGCTTTGTGGGTAACGGCCTCAAAAAGATTGAGAACCAGTGCTCAAGAACCCCCCTCGCGCAGAAATCGAGCGTAATATCATATGGTTGAAATTGAATAGGCCGCTGTACCAAGTGGACTTCAACCCTCTGCAAATATGACAGACCTGTTCTAATAGATGATTTATACGACTTAGTAAACAGCGCGAGTAGGGAATTGCTCAAAGCGACTACAGCTGCTTCGCAATTATCCCGACTTTTAAGTGGTAAGCATGTTCAGAATACTGTAATCATCATGGAATTACTCTGGTCTTCATCGCCTCTAAGCTGGTTGTTTCTGTTATTCTTCACAAGCTAACCACTGTCCGTGGAAACCAAATTCGTGACGAGCGAGCGGAGTTTTGTCGAAATCCAGGCTGCAATAGGCGAACGTTTACTTTGCGTCAGTCGTTATATAACTGCCGAGCATATGGGTAAACCACCGTAGTCCACCAGAGAGGGGCCTACGACTCTGTAGATCCATGTTTTTGAGACAGTTTGATCAGAAAAGTAGCACCCGAGGAATATGTAAACATTCTCACGGCGTAGTACACGCGTAGCATGATCAAGGTGAGTGCTTATGGCGAACTTTCGCCACTCTTCAATACCATGGTACTTTATGGATCGGAAACACAGCTATAATAGTTCCACATAATCTTTTGATTGAAATGTTGTCCGCTGAGCGTTTCTAACCAATCATGTGATCAGTCCGGTTGATCCTTCATCGGAGAATGCAGCAGGCAAATGCGAGTCGACTTATTCATGTCTTTTATCAATTCATCTGGTGGTCACCAAGGTACTCCATGTACTTCCGTCAAATAAACTACACTGGGTTGGGCCTACAAAAAAGTGTTATGACCCCGCTGTAGACGATGTACGCATGTTCAATATTTCAGAACATATTTTGGCGCCGGTTCTCCAGTTGCACTGTGTTTCGGAAAAGTAGGGCAGCGAGTATATTCATTACTAATGAGTCTAGAACAGCCGCTCATTGCCAGTCGCAATGAGTGTAACTAGAATGAATCTCCTTAGATATAATCTAGGTGGGTACAAAAAACTTCAAGTTGTTTGCCGGACTGCACTATTCAGCGGATACGCCTTTAGTCGCTTTATGATCCCACCAGATAACGCATCTTACACAGAAATGATGCGAGATATCACTTACTTCCCCCCTGTATGCTGTACCACTGCTCCATGCGATGGCGCTGATCACCATGTGAGGTTTAGTTTAGTGGTTGCAGTTTCTATATCACAAGCCTGTCATTGCTCTCCGAACAAAATTACTACTATCCCCCCATACACTATATCCCACCTCATTCGATTTTGATTCGGCCATTGTTCTAAAGATTACATTGGGCTGGATTTCACTACTGCCTGCGATTAGCGTGTTATGGTCTTTCAATAATTATTTGCCTTCACCTAGTCCTTTTCCTTAATCCGCTTGCGCTCGTCGGTTTTTAGTTCCCCGTGCTCCCTCGGATAAGCAATTGACTTCGTTTAACAGAAGTGCTACTCTCCCAGCGAAGGTCCAACAATCCGGTAAGTTTTGCCTCTATACGCAGACTGGTCCATACATTGATGTATATTCCATCACCTCTTCATCAGGAGTCCACCAGCTCCAACTCATCGGCTCTCTTTCTTCACATCACAGAGCACATAGTTTCTGTTCTTGTATGCATTCGAGTTCCTTTGCAGTACCCCACCCTGCGGTCGCACGACTATGATACAGCGTTGCGATTGGCTACTGGCAATCTCTGTATTGATGCCTCAGCAATGCCATACTTTCCTACCTTCCGATTCCTTTCATTTACCCCCCTCCCCCATCCGGAATACGTTGGTTGACTGCGAATTGGGAAATCGGCCAGCTAGCACCAAAACCTACATGTATGCGTATACCATTCGTAACTCCATCAGTCATTCTTTGGCGCTCGCCGCCATCTTCTTAACCGGATGCTGCGGGCTCAGATATTGTTCTCACGTGCCGCATTCTGTCATCTGGTGTTGCGTACACCGATTCCTTTATAAATCTGACCGCATTCTCCACCTGTGTCGCTTTGGCAATCATACTGTGATCGTTTTAGCCAATAGTCGTCCAGCGCAACCCGAATTGGTACTCGTGCTTGTAGTCAATGGGTGTTTCAGTCGCAGTTGCTCAACCATATTGCAACTACTGAATTGTTCCTAAAGGTTCATTGATTAAGCTGGACAGACAGTACGATTTCATGTTAAACCATCACCCCCATCTAAGGACTTTCCCACCTCCTTCCTCCATGCGTTTCAGGGGCTGTTTACTTGATTATTTTCGCGAATGCATTGTCTTCGGCGGGTCGCAAAGGCTGTGTTCTTTGCGAGGAACTTAAAGTCTTTGCTTTCGGTATACACTTGATTCGAGCCTAGTGCGCAACATCCATTGGTGGTTCCCCCAAACCGCTTTACTAAACAACTCTCTCTACAGCCACCTCGCGGAGCGTGTCCAATTGGTTCCATACGCATTTCCGGTGCCCCAACAGGTAGTTCGCCTAAACGCTTCAGTGTCAGTCGCTCACTCGGTGGAATACCCTCTGTTGCGTGTAATGATCCTTAGCCGAAGATTGATTGGGTAACCAAGACCCTAGCGCGCTAAGTAATATATGTTCCCGTGTCCCCATCAACAGCCACATCTGCATGGTATACCATCACTAGAGTATATGAGCTAACAGCGTCGATTGTGACGGACCACCAATTCAACGCGGCAATCTCCACGCAGCAACATACATTAAGCCAATTTGCTAATACCCGCTTTACCAGCAGACACTTTGCCCGGATTCTCGGCTGCTTCACGGTCTCCTGTCTTGGCACAATTTTGTCGGACTACTCAACGCGTCGCTCACTGAAAGTTGTCATTCAACTCTAGGGTCACCTAGGTATTCAAGTTGATTGGATGCTGCATCGACATCAGACCAGATCATTTAGCTGAGTAATGCTTATGTGGTGTGGGTTTTTGGGAGCATGGCTCACCAGTGTGACGACCCGAGCTTTTTTTTGCTACTGTAATCCGGTTACCCGGAAGTAAATCATTACTTCGTTCTGCCATGACCACTGTGTCACTCGTTCGTCCAAGTACCGAGTGCAGCGACCGTCCTGCGTCTGTGTTCGCTTCGCTCGTTCGTCACGTAGCGCATTCTATCTGTCCTGTATTCGCACGCGTACATCCGTACTGCCGCGCTCGAGTTAATGTGATGTTTTGCCACACATATTTCCGCACGTCGGAGTCGTGTGCGCTTTCGCACCGACGCGTGTTCGCCACGTGTACTGTGCGTTGCCAGTGTTTACAGTTAACTGATCGTTATTGTGCACACGCACATCCAACAGCGTTCCGATCGTTCTTCATGCGTCATCCTACTGTCCCGCATCAGTGTGTTTTTATCGTCCATGTCCTCGACTTACGCCTTCTCTCTGCCCTGCCGATCATTTTCACCCTTCGGCCGCCGCTCAATACTGGGTGCTTGTGGGTCCTGCCCAGCACATTGTTCGTTCTCATTCCCATTGATCGGGGACTGTGGAACTGGTCAATCCATTTGGGTGACGCCGTACACGCATGAACTAATTACAGCGTTTGATTCTGGCATTCCAGACCACTAGATTGCGCTGGTCTCTTGTAGTCAGGTCAATTTACTTCCGCTGCATTTGCCGTAAAATTCTGTTCTGGATTTTGTCTTTAATGGGCTCATCCTCTTTACGGCCGTCCCGACAATTGAGTGAAACGCCCAAGCACTTTGATCACGTAGCATTTCACTTGGGTTCAGCCTCCCAAACCTCCATCATCACGACAGTAAGTGGAATGAGAAAGGAGTCACGTGAAAAATAAGCCAACTGAGAATGAGCTTCACATCAACTACAGTTATTCGATCGTGTAACTCTCTTTTCCAAACAATTCGTATGCTTTGCCCTCTTTCCCATTACCAGTGCAATTGACCACATTCGCTTTGCTGTGTCTGTTCACTCTTATCCCCGCCACGGACCTGTACGTGCAATCGATGCCGCTAACGTTTTAAGAGAGTTTCTGTTCTTTACTGCAGACAGGTACCTCACATAGGGTTATGTTCACACTTGGTTAACATCATGCTTGCCCCTAATCACCATCCTTGTTATGTGCTGCATTCGGGATTTCACTTTTCCCGGTAGGGGGTCACTGCTGGCTTCTTACCTATGGATCTGCACCCGCCATCTATCGGTAGTCTCTCCTCTCTGCACAAGTACGCCGGTAGATGCGGCCAAATGTTGGTATTCTTTGCAATTGCCTCACTTTCAGCGTAAATAGGCTTCAGTAGAACGCGTCTCGTACACTGTTTTTGTTTTATATTCCCTTTTGCCTCATCCCCTATCTTGGGTCAGTCACGTATTGTCGTGGCACAATTATTTCACTACCTTGGGATATGTCAGTTGTAGTCTAGTCGAACACTCTTGTCACCGTGCTCTTCCTATGGGTCATGATGCTCCAGTCGACTTTCCTATGCTTTTTTTCTTACCCAAACCTCTCGCTGTCGTAAAATCACCCTAACCCTGTACCCGGCTGCAACTATTGCTAATTGTCCACTAATGTACCCTGATGAGATGCGGCTTCGCTTAGCGCTCCTACCCATACCCGTGACTTTCGATGATGTCTTGGTTACCACCCGAATTTCTGTCACAATTCCGTCCGCACTGAACCTTCGTGTTCCACCTGTCATTTCCAAACCCCATCACGCAGACCTCCCAATAGCCTATTACTGATGCCGCTTTATCTGTGTCATCTTCCTTTAGCTTGACTATCACATGCTACCTTCTGTGTCGTTTGCAGCGTGGAGACGCCTGTCTGCGAACATAGTCTACTTAACCGACACTGCAGAACATTACACTGTGGAACATTACTCGTCGAAAGATAGGATGTGCGAGCCTACACTACTAGAATGATTGATAGACGAAAGAAAGAAAAAGAAGGGCATCAGGAGTACGCCGGTACACAATACCGATACTTCGCTGCCGCACAACCACCACCGGTGGCACATAGGCTGAGGATACCGCGAGGGTCGCCCTGCCTCTACGCAAGCTCGAACCCGCGCTGCCTGATTACAAGACAAGCCCGTTACCTTTAGAGTATGGGCGTCGATAGACGAACTTGATTGTTTCCTGTCTACTCTTATAGTCGTGCCAAATATACTGTTACAATAGTTATTACACTATCATTTGTGGCAATTGCTTCCCATTGGCGACTATTATTGTTACCATTATCGACTGTTGGTGATAGCGATAATGATGAAACGGAGAATAGATTGGTGGCAACGACGCTGTGCATTTCCGTCTCATCTTGGACTATGTGCATCGGCCTTCATGGGCGTAACAGGTCATTTTGCCTTTCAATCGCTCTCCGATTCTGTGTGAGGCCAGTACAGTCCAACCATCTTTCTCCACTTCTCTTTTCAGCCTATCTCAACTCGCACAACACTGGAACACTCCAGTCCACCGATGGAGTCCGATTCGACAGCGACAAAGAGGTTAACTGCTGTTTGTTTATTCTCCTCATTTTGCACGTCAATCGCCCGTGGTGCATAGTGCTCACGACAGGCACTGTACTCCCCTCACACACGTCACTTCGCTATACTTCAGTTACCCTGCTTGAATTGTCGCAAATGTTGTTAACTGTTATCCCTTACTTGCATGTGTGTCATTTTCGTCAGCTGTCACTTGGTACCATCACCTGAACCTCACCATCGTGTCAGCATGATATGCGATTGTTTGCGTTCGGTCTCATATCCATTCACTGAAGTACTCGGTCACTATGAGACTTATATTAAATCTGGCATTTACTTCTATCCGTTTATCTGAGCGTTTGCTTCCCTGGGCTTCCGAATTCTCTGTGCCGTTACCGATTACTCACGTATAGTTATATGTGATGTAATTAATCGGAAAGCGTTTTCTTATTCTACTTCCATATCTCGTACAATGTGAAGTTATATTCACCAGCTGTAATTGCTGTAGACTGCTTATGAACATCGATCACATATCTCGTCGAAAGAGGTTTTTTGGTATCATGTGACCAACTTGTTGTCACCATTTTCATCGTGGGAGCTTCACGGGTATTTTTTACCCGGCGGCCGGGAAACCACACCTAGTCATCCTTTCATTCTTACCGCTCAATCATGCTCCGCGCATTCGCTGCGTTCTCAGACTAATCGTGGTATAGTCGTAATTTTTACCAGGTGGTGCAGCCTGTTTTACAGTCCCACCTTGCCACTATCCCCAACAGATGCTGTAGACTGCGCTGAGCCCAGGGATATTCAACTAACACAACTAACTTCCACTCTCTAAGGGAGCATCTGGGTTGTATGTTGCGCATGCTTTCAAGGACTAGTCATTTTCATTTAGTCCTCAATCACAAATCACGCGAACTGATTTGCTTTTGGAGCAGTCCAAACCATCCTTATCTAATATATGGGCGCATCGCTACTCCAGTGATCGAACTGTCAGTCTGGGACGCTTCCTTTGCCTAGTGCGCAAGAGCAACATCTACTTTATTTAGCTTTGACAGCTTGAATCGTGGGAACTACAGTTAATTTGTTGAATACGTGCCACACCATACCGGATGTCCCTAGCATATGACAACTGCTTCTTGGTGGCCAGGTTCTAGCTTGGCTCCTCTGAATCATTTTCCACTGCCGCCTCTAGGGCTTGTTCGCCGATCATTAGCACTGAAATCTTTTTCTAGTTTTCTTGCGTATAGCGCAGCCAAAGTGGGCTTATACAATCGAATGTCCTTTTCTTGTTCTTTGTGCCATCCTTTGAGAGGAACTATTTGCGTTCTGGCCTAGCTCACTTATTCTGCATATTGTTGCTACCTATGTCAACTGCATTCCAGTGGCTATCAAAGTCATGGCTTCTCTGTGTCACCCGGGTTTGAATTTTATTCACTCTGGTAGAAGAGAAATGTAAACATGACACTACTCCTTTACACCATTTCTACACTTTTTCTCATTCAAGATCCCTTTCACAATGGAGACTAACAATGTTTGTTTTGTAGACTACATGGGAGCCACCCACGCTTGCTTATCCATATGTACCCAGAGCCAAAAGCTAGTCGTGACAAAACGCAGGCTCACTGGCCGTCCCCTCATGTAACTAAACTAGATACATTTTGAGCTACTTATGCATCAGGTTGAATCGTGACCTAACAAAGCTAATCCGATGTTGTCTCGTGTCAGATCTACGTGCAAAAAATTGTGCTACATGTCGTGTTACTTAAACGCGAGCTTTCTACTCTCACCTATTCGGTATTGACCAACTAGGGGGCGCTCATATAACAATGTTTTATCGGTCTCAACAATGACCTACTTGATTGATAGATGGTGATCATCGCTAGGAGCAATCTGGCACGGTGTTAATTGCGACGATGTCCAGGCTTATACCTTTGATGAAGACTTTACTCCTATATCGGAGGCCGGCTGACGCGCACACATCTGTCCATGTCTCCCGACTATCTCTTTAATATTACCTGCCTCGGATGTGTGTGCAAGTTTTCTGACTTTTTGTAAGATAGGACATTTACAGCTTTGAGTGCTGGTTCAGAGCAGGTATACCCAACGGGGAGACTTCTCAAGAGTCGCATGGGTCACATTTGTTGCCATGAATGCCGCATGTCAGGCATGATTGATAGTAGATATTTTCCTGATACTTTGTGTTACCATAGTACTTCATTCATCCATCTATGATCCTGATAATAACTGGCAAACCGCTCTGTTGGGTGATACTCATTGTCTACAGATTCGTTTCCTAATCCCATTTGTCAACAGCCACCGAATCACCTATTTCATTTCTTTTTACAACAGACACCTAACGCGGAGAAGAAAATCAAAAAGAAGGGAAGCTTTCGCATTCCTTCGTTTTCACGAAAGAAGAAGCATTAAACGGACAAGTCGACTAACCTTGCCTCCTCTTCTATTCACTTTATGCCGTATCTGATGTCGTCGCTTCTCATTCCCATATCCATCTGCCTGTTATAGTTGGTCTTCTGAGCTCCCCATCTCTCTCGTTGGCTTGATTTCTCTGACTTCACTATCGTTGTTGTCGTCCGATCACTACATAATACCACGATTGTACTTACCGTCGGAATGGCTATTTTTCATACCTTGTTCCCCATCAGAACCTCATCGACTGTTCCGCCTCCGGCATTGGTTCCTGAGTGCTATTCCATTACCCGTCCGTACATTCGTTGGACTTCATTCACCTGATCACGCATCGCTGCCTACTCCAGCCGAATGCCTGCAGATGATCTTGGCCCACAGCGCACTTACCGTCCACCGCTTTACTCGTCGAATTCCCCCTTTGGTCCCACACTGCTGCCTAACTCTGTTTCCACTTCACTTCGTTTGTGTACACCGCATACAACTCTTGTTTTCTTACTTCATCTCGCGTTACGATTGGGATTGTATTGCCCCCCTCCCATCTCATCACGCACAACGCGGAAGGTGGTGCCGGTGATTCCGTTCCAAACAATCAATCACTGTCTCGATATTTCGTTGTATTCGCACTCACTCGTGCTCCGTTTTGCTTCCCAGTTCGCTATCAGTCCACATACATGGTGCCCACTTGCCTCCCAGATTTAGTTCGCATGAGCCTCTTCGTGTTTTCTCGCTTTTAGCCTCAGTCCTCGTTTGATCATCTTGCTAACTCCTGCTTGTTCTTTTCCCTCCCATTCCTCCTGGCTGATTATCTCGGTAGCTTCTTTGTGTATGTTGTGTTAGGTATTTTGGATTTAACCTCCCTCTCCATGCCTACGTAATTTTATTTGTGAGCACCAGGCCACCTTTTCCATTTCCCTCATTCGATTTTGTCTCATCCTGCTTGTTTCACTCCAGTCGGTCCACACAGCAAACAAACCAGTATGAAGTAGTGGGTACAGTCCCTAGTTGTCAACTTCATTTGTATGAATGTCTACAAGTCCCGCTTCTCATTTTATCCAGATGCTCCGTGTTTCCTTGTTTTTTTCCACTCTACGTTTTGGTTTTCTTGAAGGAATTTGGAATCAGCAGGCGTTCCACTTTTTCAATTTCACTCATTGGTTGGGCCGATTTCCAATAGACGCGTTGTCTCAGTGAATACGTCATTCAGCTATGAATTCTCTTATTTTGAGTGATAGAGTAACGAATTACGATTAGGATACCAAATTCGTCAAATATTTGCTTTTCTGTTGTATCAAACTCGCTCGTTACTTCATGCAATTCAATGTCACTGCTTGTCTACTAAGAAGACAGAGATTTCGCTCCTTGGACTCCGGCAGCGCTGTGACTTTAGATGTAATCAGATTGAATTATTCGCATTCAGCCGATCTGGTATTGGTTTTCACCTGCTGTATGCACTACTTTCTGATTCTTTCCGAGATAACTTAACATTTGATGTCCATTGCAGACAGACGTTTCTCCATCATTCCATGGGATGGTGGTATTTCATTTAATTTTGGCACTAATCTGTGATCTCCAGTAAGATACCGCGAGTAATCTCCCTCTCTTTGAGTTGCCCAGGAAGCATCTCCCTATCTTAAATTCTATCGCTGAATTTCTTCCCCTGTTTGCTTTTTCTAATCTTATTCCGAATGTAGCTGCTAGCAGTATGTTAACCTCCAACTCTCACACTTCATAGCAGCTCATGCGACGACCGACTAGCCTTATTCTAAATTTTACTCTTTGAATTGAGATGTGCTTTGCTCCTGGTACCCACCAGCTCGGAAGCGGCGTTTCGATTCTCTACCCAGCTTCAGTTTATCCGCAGCTCAACAGACTAACTGTTTCCTCGGTCCAGGCGAGCTGTCAGTCAAACTCAATTGCAGTCCACCGCAAGACATTGAGCTACACTGGACTTTTATACAGAAGACGATAATAACTTCCGGCCAATCAAGCTGCACTCTATCTCGACACCCCTTAAAGGCTTGGATATCTGGAGCTGTTCAACTTCCGCAATGATATCCCAACAAAATCAGATTACCCCGAGCGGCGCCGCTGTGCCAACCGGCAGCTCAAGCAAAGCCTACACAAGACTTGGTGGTCTGACCATGATTTGAAGATAGAAACAACTGCCCTCTCCGGCAACATTCGCATGCTTTTCCAACTCATTCGGTCCATATGTCTCAAGAGGCGTGGTGTCAATGAGGTTATCTGCGTGGCGGATGGATCTCTGATCATCAGCCTGCAGAGGTGTTTGGACCGCTAGGTCGAGAACTTTCATTCGTATTTCAGCTGACCTCCACAGTTCATCCGTGCGCACAGTAAACCTTGTTGCCTACCGTGGTTCTTCTCACTGGATCCACCCAACAAAGCGAAAGTTCGAGAGATTCGACACTTGAAGCGATTCACGGGTACCGGCTCAGATGGACCTTGTCTGGAATTGTTCATATACGGCGATGTGACAATCAATAACTAGCTAACCTCTCTTCTCTTAACATGTGACTGCTGGTGCGACCTTTTTTTCCTTTCTACCTGCTTCTCATATTCCCCCTACCCCCATTACTAACCTTCCAACTGTAATTCCTAGCTTAGGTGACAGCAGCCGCAGTGTCACTGGTGTCACACTATCTCGACTATATTGGCGCACCACCCAATGAACACCAATCGCCGTCAGCTCCTTATAAGCCATACTGTCCCGTTTCCCTGGCGGCGTTCAATGTTCGCACTCTAGGACAAATAGGTCAACAGCATGCATTCGCACCCACGTTGAACACGCTGAGTATTGACATGTGTTGTGTGTCCGTAACTTTGATCAACCATTCTCACGGGGTAGTTGAAGTAAATGTGCCCGGTTTGTCCTCTCGTTATTGGTTGCATGCATCCGGAGACGTTGATGCGGCAACCACGGATCAAGCTAGGGTAGGCGTCGTTCTCAGCTCTTATGCTGAGTCATCGTCGGTTGATTGGATTCCCGTGAACAGCCATTTGTGTTCAGTCCGTTTGGCGACATCAGCCAAGGTTGGTTCACGCTGTTTGTTTGTGATTTCCTTTAAGCCCCCCACCGATTGCAGTTCTACTGCTGCCAAGGTCGCCTGCCACGAACTGAACACGCTGTTTCGCGGTGTTACCAGTTCAGATATCTTTTTTACAGTGGATATGGACGCGCAAGTAGGACATCTGAACTGGGTGGTAACTATGGCCTTAACGCCGGTCGTACGGACAACGGCGGTCGTCTTTTACAGCTGTGTGCAAAGCATCGGCTGTTTCGTAGTAATACCGCTGTTAGACACAGTGGTTGCCCAAATGTCACGTGGCATCCACCTATAGCTGGCCAGCGATGGAACCAAATTGATCGCGTTGCCATAAGTTACAGTCGGCGTGGTTCCACCCTGATTTGTCACTCGCTCTGGAATACCTGCGTCGATTCTGGTCATGTTTTGATATGCCACCGTTTTTCCATGAATTTTTCCTGGAAGCTTAGCAAGCGCCTCCATCGATTGGCAAATGAGAAGTTACTAATGTTTTCGTCTCAGCTGCTCACAAGAACATAGCCCAGCCTAGTGCGGAAAAGCACCAGACACTTTTCGTTCTATTGGGGCTCGTCAGTAGTGCGCTTAAGCTGCTGGCTAGTCGGCATCTGCCCCTAGCGGTCATGGGTTCGATCCTCAGTGGGGGACCGAGGGAATGCGCACCACTGATGAGCCCCAATAGGGCGAAACGCGTCTGGTGCTTTTCTGCATTAGGCTGTTATATAGCTTATGAGCAGCTGGGACGAAAACATTACGTCTAAAGTTATCTCAGCCATCGGTCAGGCAAACTTACCAGGATGCTCAGCTTACCGAATTTTCGCAGCTTCAATGAAATGGCGTCTCGGCAGCCATGCAAGATACGAGAGCCTGTGCTTGTGGCACTATCACTCGTCATCGCATTAATCACTGGAAATCCTAGATGTCGGTGAACCTGTTGGAATCCCGAAAATTCCGGTTGACCCCGAGCACAGTGTAACTAGGCGGACTATTAGGTGCGGACTCTGCGTACTGACTAGGAAGCTTAATGGACTATTAGGGCTTTAAGCAATGGAGGAAGCAGGTGCAGTAGGCACTTACCGTATGCTTTTCCAACTGGTCTGCACCTCTCGTCCCAGGAAGCCAGGCATCAAGGAGACAACCAGAGACAGCACGAGTGCCGTGATTCACAATACGGAGTGCCCTATGGTTCGTTGGACGAAGCACTTTTGAGGTCAGTCCACTTATCATCCTGGTCCTCTGCCTACTCAGTTGGTGCAGGCTGGCTTATGGCCGGTTAGTTTAGGACAGGCATTCTCAAGCTTTATTCAGTCGTGCCACCCTTTTGAACTTTACAATTTCTCATGATCTCCCACCATTAATTAACACAATTATAGCAATCCGAAACGCCTAACGGACGTAAATCCGTGGTTTTCCGTAATGTTATTAGTATACTGTTATGGTGGCTATTTTTAATGTTGCTATCACTGCTTTTTCCCTTATGGACCACTTCTTTAACTTTTACAGTCTCATGTTAATATTCATTGAGTGCCAACATTAAAGCCACTTGTCTGTATTTACACAAAATCATCATTATATTTATTATTGCATTGGATTATTGTTTGATTTTAACCGTAAGGTATGTCATGGAATAGGAAGCGAAGTAACTTCGTATCAGTATGTTTGCCGAGATAGTAATGGAGCCTTGAGCTGGCTTTCTCATTTCCGGCTTCAGACCTGACAGCGATAGTCGAAGATCTCTTGGTATTATGTCCAATATGTTTTTACTTTTTATTAGAGAAACCACTTTACTGAATCTTCATTCAACCAAGTATGTGAATGGAAAAGAAAGGAAATATATTGCAGCTATTATCTACAGTTTGGCATCTGTTTGGAGCATCAGTCTTTATCTAAAAATCCCTTTTATGTTGCATGAATTTGGATCTTGTTAGTGGGACACTT